AATATTAGTATCTAACAATGGACGTGCTAAATTGAAATACAGCGAGAGGACTGCGTCGCCCCCCTCTGGCTTCTCCGTATACAGGGTGTTCTGTAACTGGTGGTGTGAGACTCTTAAACGGTTCACGGATCCTTGCTTATATAGCAAATAAAGAATAATTACTTTTGCTGTCACGAATAGAATAAAATTCATCTAAAATCTAAAAATGAATCTATGTAAACGTACATAGCACATATACATAATACATTATCAATTTCTTTTTTTAAGATCAGTTTTATAATCAAGATCTTGATTCTTTTAGGCAGTTGAATTTATAATATTAATAGCAAAATTTTATAATACAAGGCATATGCCAGAAGATACAAATGCCAATAAATTCTTATAAATAAGAATAACAGATACTAGTGATGCATATGTTGCATTGATTCAATTTTAACTAACAATTGTCGCTAACATAATTGTTACTCTTTAATTTTTGTTACGTTTCCACAAAATAACTTATTGTTAGGGAAGCAAACACAAAAGTGGACATTGTGTTAGAGCAAATATTATTATTTAAAATAAAGAAAGAAAAGGAGAATGGTTTCATAAAGGAAGATAACTCCATAGATAGTTGTATTTTAGTAGCAATGAATGAAAATATGCTAAAAACAAAGAAATTTAATTCTTAGTTCATTTTTTTATATAAAATCATTCTATTGCCGATTATGCCACATGTTATGGGACACCCTGTATATCCCTGTCTCTATTTTACTCTCTGTACGAAGACTGCACCTCCCATTGAAAATGTGTGTGCAACGAAATTTCTATTACTCCCTCACGGATTACGTTGCCGCGTCCTCCGGCTAGGATGGCTCTGTACCTTTTTCGTCTACGTGTTGGTTCGAACAGCGCGCATAGTACCATCGCACATAGTTGCAGAGAGAATGGAACGAAACTCGCCGGTAGGGTGAGGAATAGCATGCAAATGAAATATTAATTAAATCTATTAAAATTCTCTGTCTCCGTTCACGACCTCTCCTTTCTCGTCTGTTACCGTTCCACGTTTCTACCATCTTCTGATTCTTCTGCTTTTTTTGGAAGAATCTTTGTTGTCTAAACGAACTCACAACGCTTTGTTTCTTTTATTTTTCTTTTTATTTCCTTTATTTATTCTCCTTTTTAAGAAAGATTTAGCTTCGATTTTTTATCCGACCTTATGGTTATTTATTTTCTTTCCAGGGTACTTTGATGACGTCTTTTTTCTTGTTTAGAGCGGTTTTTAAAGCGTACTTAACTTCGTGTCTAAAGCAGTTTCTGATTAACACTTTCGCACCCGGCCATTTCTCCACTTCGCTAGAACTGAAAGCCGCGCCGAAAGGAGTAAGCCCAAAGCTGGTTCCTGCAGGTTTCTGTCACTAACAGAAGGGTACGAATTATAAAATTTATCTTCCAATATCAACTTTACTTCTTGGGCTTTTTAAACTTTATGTAAAACAGGCTGCTAATAACTTAGGAGATCTTAAAGATTTTGATTGATGAAGAAGAATACTAGATAAGTATTGCAGAAAGATTTGGAAAGAGAGACACTTGTATCGTATTATGCTAGTATATCTAGTATAAAATTATTGATTTGCCAATAGCAAACAACTACATATAGCTCAATTATCTTATATATCTTATATAAGTTGAATTTTGTTTGCTGATAAGAGCAACAATTGTAATTGATTACAATTTTTCATTTTGATTTCAAAGTTAAGAAGCAAAAACTATAATAAATAGAATTCTCGGTATCAGCGCAATGATATGGTATAAGGTAGAATATTATACTGACATAGGTCCTGACATATATGCATAACTTCTAACGGTATGTCACGTAGCATTATACAGTTAAAAAACGACCCAATTAATAGACTAACAATATACATCATCAGAGTAATTGAAAGTTTGCAAGATAAAGAATCGAATCGGCAAAAACTCGCCTTCCACCCTCCGCTATTACTTTCCTCCACCTCCACCCTCGAAGCCGCCCTTTCATCGGTTATACGTGCGCGTATTTCACTGTTCCGGGCCGCGGTGTTTCGGCCGACAAGGCCGCGCCACCATCAAATTCATTCTATCACTCGGGCATATTCCATTAATTACTTTCACTTTGCGTCAATGGCATTTCCATTTCAATGATCGCCGTCGCCCTCGCCTCCACGCGTCGACGCCGTTTCCACTGCCGGCATCCCCTTCCAATGGAATTCGCCATTGAATTACGTTTTGTATTGTAAGTGAAATATAACAGCCGCCTATCTATCTGGAGGCGGAGTCTTATTTCCTTTCAATTATGTATTTTCTTTTTCTTCTTCCATCTCTTCTTTTGTACTTTTGACCTTTTCGCCTTTTTCTTTTGTTTCAGTTTTCAAAAGTAACTTTGTTAAAAAATTTCTTTTCATAATTTCAATAGAATACGAATAAAATGACAATTAATTACAGTTCCTCGTTCCAATAGAGAATTATAAATCAATGGTTGTTAATTAATAAAAGAGAACAGCAGATTGATAAGCGTGTAAACTAAAGTTTACAAAATAAAAGAAAGGTAGAGAAAACACATCTTTTAAGATCCTTACAAAATTCTTATGCTATTTTTCACAAATCTTAATAAGAGATACACTATTCTAGGAAATTGGTAAATCAACATTTTGCTTGAGATATTTTATTTAAAAAATATACACCGAAATAAAATGTTAAAGACAAGAAAAGGATTAATTCAAATTCCAAGGAAAGAGAAGGTGGAGAAACGATTTCTCGTAAGATTTTCTCTAAGCTGTTCTTCGATTCTCGACAAATCTTAATAAAAGGAAGACAACGTATACTCTTGACATACAAAAATTCAGGAGAAGATCCTGACCGCAGTTCATTCAACGAAAAAGAATATTATCCCGTGTATCCCGCGATCTTAGCATCGCATAATGTTGAAGTGTGCAACAATAAAGCGAAGAGAACGTTACAGGTACTTCTTTCACGCAGAAGACGTTGCATTCGTCGACTGCGTGTACTCGTCGAGATCTTCGAGGAACGAGGACGAGAGTCGTGGTTCGTCGAACGATGTTCAAAAGGAGAATAGGGTCAACACGGTGTAGAACCGATTTGCCTGTTCGACTGTTACCGAAGGAAAAAGAGAAAACGTGGACGATTGGATGGACGAAGACGAGGAAAAAGAGACAGGGGAGGTTGGAAGCGAAGCCGATGGAGCGGACGATCCTTGTTATTGTAGCCATAATGGATGGGCAAACAGGAGGACACGAGATCGAAACCGTGGCAGGTAAAACGTAGCTCATGGTCTCGTTGTACCTGCGTAAAAGCCGTGTCACGAGTCAAACATTACATAAGAATCCGATTTAACGCGTTATACGAGGTGAGCGACCATCCTATAAGATCAATAAGACGAATCTTTCAGCGAATTATAAAATCTTTCTTTTGGGGGGAATTTATAATTAATTTATTTTTTATGTTTGCTTTTTTCTACTTACTAAATTGAAAATCTTGAGCAAAAAGTTGTTCATTCAATTTCGTAGAATTGATGATTGTTTCTTTTCTCTCTCTCTCCTTCATTTTCGCTTAAATTGAGGGCTTTGTGTCATTGGAGTGCGCTATTAGTTGTGTGGTAAACGTTTATTCAGATTGTTGGATGTTGAACCTTCTGTTAGTTCTATGTAAATACAGAGATCTTTCTGGAAGTTGTCTTTCAAAGCATTATTCATTACTATGTCTACTTTCTATTTCAAAGTCTAAATACATGGAGCCTGACTTGGTAATTAAGAAAAGTATACACTGATTATCTCTATGCAACATACAGAGTGTTTCATAATACAGGCAACATTTACTTGTACTTATTTGTAATTAAAATAATTTGAAATTTTATTCGTGTGTAGTAAAACCTCAATCTTGGTGGATTTTAATTTTAAAAATTAAGAAAACGCAAATACTCAGATGCATCTATGCATTTCCAAACTTACGCTAAGATAACCTCTCTTGGTCATTCTAAATTACTCTTCTACATTTTCTACGCCTATTTCTGTTACACCTTCTATACTCCATATAAGTATTAAAAAAAGAACTATAGATATAATTCTCTGTTTTATAGTGGCGATGCAACCTCGTTCCAATATCATGTCGATCTCGAGACACGTACTCCTGATCCATTGTCCTTTTTACAGGCCACGTGATCTCGAATTCGTCCGGAATAGTTTCGCGGTGACAATGAGCATACCTACTCCTTCTATCCTCTCCCTACTTCGCGATCCAGCTTTCTTCCAGGGGCAACGGATATTGAATACCGTTTCCACATGCCCACCACGTAGCCAGATCGCGAGGATCACGATTCTATCACCCCCTTATCGCGGTGACCTTAACGCAACGCGGGTTTTCAGGCCACCGATCTCCCTTCCTCTTTCCCCTTGCCTCAATTTCTCTCATCGAAGATCGTCCATTATTCGACGATATTAAAATTGTCTTCTATAATCGAGCTGCGGCTTGAATAATTTCCGGGACAGAACGTTTCCAGGTATTGGAGTGCCTTCGACCTAGTATTTTAATGCAGAGGGATTATGATGCTTTCATGAATCCTCGGTATGATGATCTTTTTGTTTCTTTATTTTGTTTCGCTTTTTCTTTTTTAGGTTATGATTGCTTGATGATGATAATTTTTGAAGTTAGGATATGAGGAATGCTAAAATAGAGTTTTAAATGAATTTCATATTAATATGGACAGATAAAGTACAATTTAGTAAGTGTGAATTTCTATGCATTTGTAGGAAATTTCAAAGTGCAAAATTGCACAGAATGCATGTAATTCTGAAGAAATCTCTATAACGTTTGGTAAGTGATACAATTTTCTATCGAGGCTCTACTTTCTTAATTATATTCTCAAAAATATAAATTTGCATAAAAATCCGTAATCTAGTTATTACAATGTATAACGAAACAATTAGTTGATGATTAAAATACATTTAAACGGAAAACCAAAGATTGAGAAGCTAAAGATATTAAGTCTTAGGATATTAATAATCTAACCATGATCAAGATTTTCAATTTCTCTAATTTTTCCAGACCGATTGCAATCTTGAGAAACATTTCAAAACCAGCTGAGTGTAAATGCAAGTGTCTTAAGTATTTTGGAATCTCCTTGAAAATATTCGGGCCCAATTGTATGGCATTGAAAGGCATTCTGACGCGGGGGCAACGTATATTAATCCGGGATTACTTTCAAACGTGCGACTAATTTAATTTTTCGTCTCCCCTCCTCGCGATCTCTTTCGTGACCCTTCAGCCTGTTGTCAATTGCAGGTCGACACCTTTGCCCCGTCGCGTGCGCCTAATCGCTTTAGAATTAACTGCACCCCTGCGTGCTTTTGTGGGGACCTTCGATATCTTGGGGACGAGGATTCACTGAACGGGACTCGCTCCCGGTTTCCTTTTAATTTGACGACCAAACGCATGGCTTGACACGCAACAGTGTCTCTAAACCTTATTTGAAATTCTAAAGTACAAATTGAGATGCGATCTCACGACCAGTTCCAATTTGTTACCAGCATAGATCTAGGAAAAGATACAATATATTTGCATTACCTAAGTACATGCAATATATTGACTATTTTATTCATTCGTTGATTATTATTAAGAATTATAAAATTACTTTTTTAGAGGTAAACAAAATAAGCATTGCTATATACATGTAAAGCTTTAAAAGTTACTAGTACTAATAGTAACTGCTTTTGCACAGGAGGAGCAGGTTAAGTAATAAAATAAGATGAACTTTATAAATCATTTCCACAAACTGTAAATCATCTGATTATTCTACTTAAGGTAAATTTATCACTTCATTGATATTATTAGTAGTATACGTTAGTTATATATATATATAAGAAGGTCTAGAAAACATTGCATGATTTTGTTTCTTTTTGTAGCCAAGATACCAAACAACAGAATGAAAGATCTAAAATAGAATTGCCAATAAACTGTGAAATATATTAAGGATACCTTAGTTCAAGAGAAATCTAAAAACGCGAATAAATACAAGAAAATTGATAACGTCGATGATCATGTAAATGTTAACCCAAAGCTAACATAACCTAACATTCGCAAATGCCATACAGGTGAACAGGAATGTGAGAAACGGCGAAAAAGCGGCAGATAGGCATCGCGGCCAAGTCGAAAATTGTGACGTTGCTCGGCATTTGGTACAATTTTTTCCATGAAGTTAATGTTAATCAGTGGCGGACGTGACGTGGATGGAGGGTGCTCGACTGGATTTCATGTCGGCCGCTGCCAGGCTTGTACAGCCTGTATGCCATAAACGTGCTGCCATAAGTACTTTGGCAATATACATCCCGGCATCGGGACTCATCCATTACAACAGGCTAGCGCGTGATCGTGCAACCACTCGTGGAGCACCGGCGCGCAACGCAGAATCATTTTGTACCGTTCATTTCGGAACGACAATCCACACCACCAGCGAGACTTTCCCATATTTTCGCCCGATTCTTTTTCCGAAACGGACCCGCGAAAAATGACGTTTTATTGCCGCTATGAAACACACACACGAAGGCCGAAGTGCTGTTCGAGTGGGCACCGAATTTTCGACGGTCCATGACGATCCTCGAGGGCAGAGCTTTGCCGTTGCCATTGTTGCATGTTTTCAAAGTTCATTCGCCTGTTGATTGACAAATTTTTGACTTGGTGGAGCGGCAGAGATCGAACGATCACTGTTGCGTGATACATGCTGGTTATCTTCGAAGAAGAAATTTTTCAAGTTCGTAGTTGATTTTATAACTAAATGTTGAAGAGTTAGGAAGAAATTGAAAATTTGTATCAATCTTTTATGGATTCGTTAAGAGAGTATATGCAATAAAAGGAAGAAGAAAATTTGAATTCGATAAATATATTACTTGTAAAAAATACTGCCTCAACGTCAATTTCGAAATCAACTTTTGTTATCTACATTTGCAATTCATCTAATGTTTTGATTCGCTTATTTATATTTGTTTTTGTTTATTTTTGTTTCAGGTTTGTTTATATAGTGGATTACCTTATATACACTATAAATTTATATATATAATTATACATAATTGATTATAATCATGGTGAGTTGGTGATTGTCAAATTTATATCTTTCATAAGGTAGTATGCAACCGCGTTCCAGGCATTCTCGCGATATATTGAGTTTTTTCTTATTATCTATCCATCCATCATTGTCTAGTACAGTAGAAGGATAACGATATATCCTCTAGAGTAGGCGATCTTTGTTCGTAACGATTCTACAGGCAACAAGAGATCGTTGCACAATGAGACCCGCATAAGAGGTATTAGGAGTACGCGTGTACGCATCGCTATACACAACCAGTGGTTTTCAACATGATATACGTAAACTCAGGATTAACTCCTTTATCCTTTACCAATTCCATAATACCACTTCAACGATCTACTGGGCAAATGAAAAAATAACGAAACAACTAACTCGGTAACTTCTGATAAACGGAAGCGTTATATCTTTTAAACTGATGAAATCATCAACAGATCTCTGAATATCGACAACATTTAGAAAATATATTCTAAACGAAGAATGCTGCATTATGGAAGGACAATCTATGCAATTGTAAGCTTTGATACATTCCTTACCAACCTACGTCTAAATGTATTAACTGATTACTATACCGCTGTTCGTTAGAATTATATCACATTACTAAATTAATAGAATGTATAATTTTGTAAATTACATTCTGCTTATTTTTAGTGTTTTTGGAACGTAATCAGGGTTACATATGTACTAATTTAATATTACAATTCGACTACTTAACGCCACGACATATGAGAAGGATAATGACATTTAAATTGCAACGATTAGGAAGTTCCCCTGGATGGCGCGTGAAGGACGATGAAGGAAGGCGTGCCATTAAAAGACGGACGGCCATTAACATCCGCAAAACGCTGTCAATTGACCGTCCACAAAACAACTCTTTAACCTTTTCTTCGTGGACACCCCTCCCCGAGCTGTTCCCTTATACCGGTGCTCCACGATTCAAAAATCGCGTGCGTTCTTTCACGCACGCTTTACTCATGGGGGTCCCCAAGCAAAATGCACACGCGCGTTCCACATCTCGTCTAACTCCGGTCTCTTCCATTCATTCGCGTTATGTATAGTGTACAGTGCCATGTAAGTATAATAAATAAGAACGCTTGAGGACCCATTGTGCCGATTGTTTTCGATGGCCTCGTCGAAAACGACGAGGCCTGTCGGCAGGGTGCACGCCACGGGGCACATACACATACACGCATGTACTGACAAGTATACCTATATACATACAAGCGTGCATGCGTATATACGTGCACGATTTTTCTTTCTGTTTCTTCCTGTCTCTTTTCCTTCCTAACGATTTCCTTGTTCAGGTCTTTTCTACATACTTGTACTCTTACACGGTCCAATCTTTTTCCTTTCTTTTCTACCTTCTTCCTTGCCCATATCCGCGAAAGTCTCTTAAATACTCCTTCATTGCTGTAAGGAGAAAACAAGAACTCAGCAGGAACCCTGAATGCAACCACGAAAGCTGGATACTCGGTCACAGTAATACGACGTGTACGTGCTCACTGGCCGTGCTCGAGTACGTACTTGCAGCCTTTTCCTAGCTTGGTTTAAGACGGTATTTCGAAGCGGACCACGAGCTTCCAGTCCATCAAGCAACTGATCCTGCCGCTATGTGATTCCGTATAATGCTCCTTCCTAAGTGTTCCTTCGTCGATCCTTTTCCATCGATCCTCCGAATGCATGTATCGATCAGCTAAAGATAAAAAACGCTCGGGCGACTTCGTGGACCTAGATACGTATTGTACTACATAAAGAATGCAATCGACCAGTGAAAAACGAGGAGAAAAGGTGTAAAGCAAAAAAAGGTAGTAAATCAATTGCCATTTTAATAGATTCTACTTCGTTGCTTTAAAATTACAGGCATTTGTCAAAACCATCGTCAGATTTGCCTTAAAATAAGAAGGAAAAAAACCAACAGGATGCAATGAAACTGAACAAACGGATGGAAGTTTAAAGCATATAAGAGTACTAAGGAGACAGAAAAAGCGAAGGAGGATCAGGTACTTCTGCAACGGCTGCTGCGTCGAATAGAAGTAATATTAACATAAGGCGACGATAAAGAACAAGCGAGCAAGGGCGAAAGAAAGACTATATATAATTTAACGACGCTAAGCAAGGGAGGACGGTCATTTTTTTCTTGCGCAGCGTGGCCGTAGCACGATATGGGTGGGTTCGTTTTCCAACCGTAGCTTGTGTGTGCACCCCACTTACCACCGCATTTTCGCGCATTAGCCTGCGATAGCTACGTAGGAAAATATAAGGCGTATATAGGCAACCTTGGGTACCTACTCGTGTCACCCATTTCGGGCATTACGATCCCATTTCTGTGGCTATTATTATCCGGACTCAGATCTTAAATGCGTCTGCCGGATATTGCCTCTTCGGCCGTGCCGATAAAAATTTCCATGCAAATTATCGCAAGTTACGCCCACTAACTTTTCTCTGTCTCTTTCTTCTCGTTCATTGCTTGCTTGATTTGTACCTTAACCGTCTAAGCTGTCTTCTTCTTTTTCTCTCTGTCATCTTTAGAATTTGATTCTAATTTTACGCCGATAGAGATGAGCTGTGCATTTAGCGAAAGAGAATGTTGAGTGAAATCGAATATTTTTTATATATATTCTTGCATATTATATATTGCCAAACTTTCTAATTCATGTAGATTTAGGGACATTTAGAATATTTTAACTTAACATGAATAATCATTGTATACTTACCATCTTGATTAGTACAACATTTTGTTGGATATTTCCTTCCATTTATAATACCAATAGAAATATTTAGGTATTCTATTTTTCACAACTTACCCTGTACATACTCAAGTAGTTATATATTAATACATGATTTATATGCTTAGGTATGTATGTGTATAAATTGAGTAACCAGAAAAGTATATATACATGAAGAAACTGAGTTTCGAAAGAGAGGAATATAACTTGGAACAAAGAACGGATAGAGAATCTTCTTTCGTATAACTTTTTAATTAACCAAACAATGCTCGTTAGCCGAGATTATGATGATAATCTGTTGTGTACCACACTTCACCTCGTTACTCTGTTATTCATCGGGTATAGAAGGAAGAATACAACATGCGGAAACAGCTAGCGGCCAATCAGTTAAGTCGAGCATTGTTTCGAACAAACGCGCGAGAGCAGAGGGTAGCCCCTAATCCTTGCGGCCTATCGAAAATCCATGATCGAAATATATCTACTCTGTCAAACGCATGCGTACCTAGATCGGTACCCTTTCGTCCGACAAGGATTTTTACGGCTTTCAATCCTGTCAGAATGAAGGACGTGTCGCCTCTGGATTTGCCATCGAAATCTTTGTTATGTACTTTGCCATAAATCAGGATGCGCTTCAATCGATGCGTTATGATCCGATCAAATTGCAGAATATATTAAATCAACGCAGACGATATTTCCTCGACGTTTTTTCCATTCTCGCTCTTCTTACTTAAATCTAAACTAAAACTCATTATTTTTTAGTCAATTACATTTGAATTAATTTTCTCATCTTTTTCCTCGTATCTCATTTTCATTAAGATTAACTTTAAAATTTATCGATTCGACGACTAGAAATCACAGTTGTCCCCTCTTCCATTTCACCAATGAAAGAAAAGAACCAATATTTTTATCTAGTAAAGTATATAAGTGAAGATTTCAAGAGAAGAACATAATAAGTATATACTTTTGTGGATCTTTTTATTTCAACATCACCTCATGATTAAACAGAATAATTTTAATATGAGATCATTGAAAATGAAAACAGCCTGCTAAGTTCAGAGATATAAGTCTTAAAAATAGTTAGTAAGCTGACAAAATTTTATTTAAAACAAAGGTACAATTATCAAGACAAGCAATACATACTTTAATATTAAGAGAAGCAATTTGAAAATCTTAAGAGAATGGAATAACTCGTGTATGAATAACTCCAGAATCAAATAAACGAGTAACTTTGGATTGCAGGATTGATCGACGACATACTAAATTTTGAAACAGCTTTTCTGTAAAAAATAAAAAATGTAATTTATCATATTCTTCTTCTATACTCTTTAAATATAAAGATAGCAATGAAAAGACCGAGCCGAAAAGAAATTAATGGTAAAAGGGCTCGATGTTACGTCTCCGTATTTCATGGATGAGTTTTCACTGTGGTTTCCCAGCCCCTTGTCTAGCTGTGGGTTACGCGGCGACATTGATGGGAGAACTATCGTCCACGGCCGGTAACGTAGGATTACCATGGCCAATAATTTCGCGGGGTCGAATTTGTTTGATATACTATATCCATTGTGTGATCCATAGAAAGAGGCTTCCCACTCTCTATTGTGGCCAGGACGGTCGAGGGGTGGAGCTAAACAGAGACGGGAACACCGGGATAGAGAAGGGAGCGAAAGAGAGAGGTCGAACGACAGAAACGCAAAAGGGTGGCTTCGCTCAGACTCACAAGTGGCAGCTTTTAATCTCTTCCAGGGATAACTCAACTCGAGCCTGAATTGTACCTCGTTACCAGCGGTTTAATTGCTTGTTAATGGATAATCGAAGTGTTTTACAGCTCACCCCCGAGTATACTGACCATCGCTCTGTGGTTAAATGTTCCACCTTGCTGGTGTTTTGTAACTTCAACGCCAGTGGAATGAAAGGTTCGCCGAGAATTTAATTAACTTATCCGACGATCAGTTACGAAAATCATAGTATTGTTACAAAAAAGTCGAATGAAAGTTTTTCTGGAAATATTAACCAATAAACAATTACGACACAGGTACTTCTTGTTTACACATATACTGTTATGTACTCTTGCTTTATACAAATATCAAGAATCATAACTTTTATGGCTCAAATTGAAGAAGTTAGAGTACAAGAATTCATATCATAATTTAGATGGTTTTGGTCAGAAATAACCATCATAAATGATTAAAGCTTCTTGGTTACCGATAATCGTTATCGATTATGGAATCCTTTTTGAAAAGGAATGATGGCTATTGAAAACATTAACATAATGAAAGACACAAAGCTATAGATATAGTGGTAAGTATAATAAGTAGAACAGTCTGCTGTAAATAATAGAAGAGACACAAGATGGGAGGTAACGGTGCTAATTGACCGATCAATCTTCATTAGAAAACGGCTTAATTACAGTACAAGCTCTCTCTCTTAGGAACTCCTCTCCGTCGTGGCCATCGTTTCCTTCACCTCCTTTCTTCCGGTACCCTGGAAAGTTTAATAATTCCGAAACCTTGGCGAGATATAAATCACAGAGGCACGACTCCTTTCGATTGCGTCCTCCTTTTCCCTTCGTCTTTCTCTCCGCCATGGCCATAATTCGAAAAACTTTCCAAGGAACAAAAGTGAGGACTTTTGTTCCAAGTTTTAGTTCTTCGTCTCACTCCTCTCGTTCGCGAGGGCGCTGTTTGCGGAGCGACGCGACGCCCCGACAGTGTTTTGTTTGCTTTGTCTCTCTTCCTGTTAGGTATATAATGCCGTAACTGCCTGGACCATCTCTGCGTACCTCCTTCGCGTCCAACCAAGAACCAAAAGATTCCAAGATTTCTCTCTCTCTCTCCATTTCTATTTCCCTCTTACGGGTTTTTGTTGGTGAAAGAAAGAAAAGGGAACGGAGTACTGTCACCGCCCACGCATACAGAAGAGAGGTCGATGAACAAGTTCATTCCGATTCTTCTTTGGACCTTTTACAGAGATCACTAAATCTTCATTCGGCAGGTCGGTTAACTGTTCGATCCTTTTGTAACGAGGTTACTAATAGGAAGTCACGGATTTTAAGATTAATTTTTAGATAGCATCAAACCTAATCTTATATGATCGCAAGAAAGTCTCATTGATCGATCACTTTTAAGATTGATTTTTAACATTTAGCGATATTTCGTGTTCACAACTGAGTGAAGCCATATGTGACTTTAAAATGATAGAAGATATATATGTTGGTCCGGAAATTAAGGCATGTCAGAGATTCTAACCTCTATTTTTTATTCTTTTATTCTATATAGAAAGATATTAAGATATATGCGTCTTATCAGTTGCAAAAAAGAATATATATAGTCTTCATTCAGTCTATGTTACAAGTACTCAATAATGTCATCTAAACGGATGTCAATTAAATTATTACTAACCTCTGCGTTATTAGAACATCTTTAAATTGGGATAAAAGTTTTCCATCAAAGTTCAAAGCGAAATTTTCCTGTGGATAGGAGTCGCAACCGCGTGTTGAATTAGAGACGCGAGAACGGGCCGACCTAATTAATTTATTCGCACGTGGTGGAACGCATCGTTATTGATTGATTAGCAAGCGGCCTAAACCGCGGAATAATTTTCATTTGCACGGCAGGCTGGCGGCGGG